TACAGTTGATGTATGTATGGATTGTGATGAGTTGTATGAGCCCCCAATAAAATGACTTTAAAAAAAAAAAAAGAGGGGCACCTAAACTAAGACCCAAAGCATGAGGAGCAACAGACGCAAGGAAGCATAAGAGAGGAGAAGCATAAGGAGAAGCATAAGGAGACTCCCAGGGAGGGTGACAGGAGGCAGGAAGACCAAGAACCCGCGGAGCAGAAAGGAGTGCCTGCATGGAAAGGTGGCCCAGGCAGAGGGGGCAGCAAATGCACACGCTGAGGCAAATGCAAAGAGCCCTGGTGGCGTAGTGGTTATGGGTTGGGCTGCTATAGCGGTGACATCATCTCCTGTCAACTTGAGCAATGGGTGGAGTCAAGCCTGTCAATCAGGTCATAGCCAATGAGGCCTCTGTGTGGGCATGGCCTTCTCCTGAGGAGTCTAGGGATTCCTTTCTTCCTCCCTGGAGGCAGGACATACACTCTCCCAGCTTGGTATCCTGTTGACAAGCCACATGGAGCTACGCTGATGGAGCCAGTGCGCTGGAGCTGGAGCAACCATGCTGAGACCCACGCCAGCGCTGAGATACTTCCACCACCACTAGATCGACAAGACTTCCCACCCACTGACCTATGGTTTTTCATTGCATGTGTTGCGAGAGTCTGAAGAGGAATTTATAGGCTGGTGTTGGGCACATAGGCTAATATCAGACTTATGGGCTTGATCTGGACTGGGCTGTGATATGGTCTTAATACATAATTACTCTTTGATATAAAGCTCTCTCTTACACATCTATGAGTTGTGGGGGAAAGGAGGGCCCCCAACAAATCATCACAGGTCTGGTAGGTGCAATTGTACGACGATAATAAGTAGATTATAGAGTCCTAGACAGCATGAGAGATAGAAGAGAGATTGAAGTAATGGAGGCAGACACAATTCATGGTAGCATGCTCACCTCAGCCCTGCTTGGTGGTCCTCGTGGAGAGAGATCCCCGAGAGTGAGAGCCAGGCCAACTTTATTGCTAAGCAAGGCTTATCACTACTTAGGGGGGTGGTGATTACAGGTAACCACATGTCACAGGAAGGGGCAGTACAATAGGCATACACATCATAGGAAGGGGATGTACGATAGGCATAAGCGTGACAGGAAGGGATGAGCTAGGGGTGTGCCCATAGGAAGGGCAGGGGGAACTAGAGGTATACATGTGACAAGATGGGCGGACCCTAGATTCATGATGGCAGCCTAACCTTGGTCACCCTTGGGTAGGCTTGACCTCTCTGGGATCTCCTACAAGGAAACAGTCAACTACTATCCTTATCAGAAGGGAGTGGGTCCTACTTGTTGTGGGATAAACTGGTGACTGCTTGCTCTAGATGGCTAATAACCCTTAGGGAGAATAACCGCTGACTTACTTCTGTTGACCTCCAAGTGTATAGTCATTCGCCCTGAGTAGCAAGCAGCTAAATTTGCATATATTGGGGGGAGACAACTTGGGAGAAATCTTTGTTTCCCACAATAAGTGTCTATGAATTTGTTTCTCTAATCAACTCGGTCCAACATAGCTGCGAACCAAAAGGTCAGCATTTCAAAATCATCAGCCCGAGGGGGAGAGATGAGGCCTTTTAAAACTACAAAGCGGCAGATAGAGTCCTATGCCCTGGAGTCAACTCCAGGGCAGTGAGTTTGTTTGGTTGTTTGTTTCTTTGTTGTTCTTTGGTTTCTGGGGCATCCCGGCACCTTCCAAGAACAATAGGCGCCCCTTGCAGCTGAAATCCCAGAAGCTAGGGGGCCCCTAGGAGTCAGGATGGCTTGGTGCAAGCAGTCCGACCCACCAGCATAGTGGGCCACAGGCAGCCCTCGAAAACACCCCTACCAGTCACACCGAGAAAGAGCTCAGGGCCCCATCGTCACTAAACAGGATCTCTTGGTGCAAAGCCATAACCCTTACGAGTTATGGGACTTAATTTTCACACAAAGCGAGATGACAGGGAGCCACGGAAGGGCTCTGAACAGAGGAGTGACATGTTGGTCTGTGTCTTTGTTTGCTCCCCTGGAATGTGTGCTACATGCAGGCAGGGGCTGGTCTGCTGTGTTGCCATCTCCCCAACATGAGGAAGCCTGGTGGCAGAGTGGCTACTGGTTGGGCTGCTAACCGCAAGGTCAGTGGAAGGAAACCATCAGCTGCTTCACGGGAGAAAGACGGCCGTCTACTCCCATCAAGAGTTACAGTCTCACTGTAATGTGCGCCAGAGAAGACAGGGCCGTCCTCAGAAAGTGCAAGTTGGTGGTGAGAAACTCAGGTTAGAGTAGTTTTTGGTGTGTGTCCCTAGTACCAGCTCTTCCGTATAAAGCTATCAAAGGAAACTCATCTATGTGGGTCTCGGTGAAATGGATGGAGTCTAGTCTGCTCAGTCTACTCCATACCATTGTGCCTATAACCTTTAGAGAAGCGACCTACTGCAGAAGCTTTTTTAATGCTGTAAAATATAGTAGCTCCATCGACCCCACCTTCAAAAGTGACTTCATGGCCAGCCTGGGCAAACCCAAAGCTTTAGTGGTATAACACTTTACAAGCAGCAAAGTGTCACAAAACTTGTTCCGATGGATAGTATGTACTTTCTCTGCACGGGTCTCTATATTTAGTAAATACATCACTGTAATGGTCAGGAATATTGCTCCAATAAAGGAACATAAAGATTGGGGGGAAAAGATATACAGTCTCGGAAACTCACGGGGACAGTTTTACCCAGTCCTATAGGCTCACTAGGAGTCTGTTTTATTTTGTTTATCTCCAACCACCAAGCTTGGATACACTCAGTTAATGTTTGAATACAGAAAGACAGAAAGATGGAGGGAGGGAGGGAAGGAAGAATGAAATAAGCTCATGAGTCCAGGTGGTAGTTTGGTACCCTGTTTCCCCGAAAATAAGACAGTGTCATATTAATTTTTGCTCCCAAAGATGCGCTAGGTCTTATTTTCAGGGGCTGTCTTGTTTTTCCATGAAGAAGAATACGGTACACATTTATTGTTTATTGTTTTATAAAAGAGACCTCACACTTCCTGTGTGCTCCGGCTGCCCTGCCACCAACAGTGAGCTGCGTGGTGGCGCCCGGGGACCTTATTTTTGGGGAGGTCTTATTTTCGGGGGGTGCCTTATATTTCATCGAGAGGCAAAACTGTAAGTAGGTCTTATTTTCGGGGGATGTCTTACTTTCGGGGAAACAGGGTAGTTCCAAATCTGACTCCTTGAGGGGTCCTTTATCCCACAGGGAACTAGACAAGCCTCCCAGGTCCCCCCCTCCCCTCCTGCCGCGTCACTTGGCTGCAGTTCCGCAGCGCGGCCGACAGAGGGCGCAAGGAGCCTTGTTTCCGCACGGAGGGCTTTGCTTGGCGCACCGCGCGGGGCGGGGCCTGAAGGGGCCTCGGAGCGGCTGGGCCGGACAGGCCGGCGGGCGGAACGCGGCGACGGGGCTGGGGCTGCGCAGCGACGGCCGGGGCGGTTTGGGGAGCGCACGGCATAAAGATGGCGGAGCGACAGGACGCGCTGAGGGAGTTCGTGGCGGTGACGGGCGCTGAGGAGGACCGGGCCCGCTTCTACCTGGAGTCGGCCGGCTGGGACCTGCAGGTAGCCCCGCGGGACGGGCCCCGCCGGGCCGGCGGGGGGCTCGGGGGCGCGGACGCGGGGCGCGGCCATCCCGCGGTGGCCGAAGCGCACAGTCATCCTCGCCGGGCTGCGGCCCGAACTCCGGCCTCAGGGGCTCGGGGCCGTTTGTCTCGCCAGCCCGATGCGAGCATGGGGGCGCGCAGGCCGGCCCAGGGGTCGACCTGTCCCCGCGGGCCTCGGAGTCTCCCCGGCCTAACCCGCTCGCGGGGCTGGCGAGGCTTTGGGCACTGGCGTGGCCGCGTGGAGAGGGCCCCCTGGTCCTTGGCCGCCACGCCGCTCCGGGCCGGAGGCCGGCCCTTCCCTGATGACCATCTCCCGGGGTGGAGCGGCGCTCGGGACTCGGCGGCCGATGCATTGCCTTTCTGCTGCGGAGCCGCAGTGGGGGGAGCAGTTGGACTGGGGAGTTGGCCCACGCCCCCTGCCGCCTCCTTCCCGGGTGTCACTGCCCCGGGGCTGAACGGGAGGTTAATGAAGAAGATGTCAGAGCAGCTCCAAGAACTGGGGGATTGTGGACACTGCTGAATCCCCCGGGGCCTCCAACTGCACCCCGTAGGCACCCCATGATTGATTGCAGAAAGAGTGGGATCGCCACTCCCGGCCAGCCTCTTTATCTTAGGGACGTGATGATGATGGTGATGACTAATGTTTCTTGAGCACGCCAACCAGGTTCCAGGCCTTCACGTGGATCATGTCATCTCACCTTTGCATTTTGCAACCTCGCCTTAGGAAGGCTCAGTAACTTGCCCAAGACCTCCACTGCCCCCAAGTGGAAAAGAGGTAGGAGTGGAAGGGGGCCCCCGGCCCTCCCACTCTCCGGGGTCTGGTACTTTGTGAGATGGTTCATCTCCTCCTCACAGCACTGGGAAGTAAAGATTGGCCCATCTTAAAGACAAGGACCTGACAGCCAGTCAGTAGTGGGTCTTCGGACTCCCCCATTCTACACTGGTTCACACTTGGAAAAGAGCTAGGTAAAGCAGGAAGCCCCCCAGTGCTGGACTGGCTCACCGAAGGAGGCGTCTCCCTGGAAGACAAAAACCCACCACATTGCAGCTGGCAGGCTGTCAAGTCCAGGCTCCTTACTCTCCAGATGGGAGACCAAGGTGCATGCTTGTGACATGACTGGCCTGGCAGGGCCAGGGCTCCAATGTAGGCCCTGTGAGTCCCCAGTTCAGGACATGGACAGGAAGTTGGCAGCATAACACCTTCCAGCAGGCAGATGACCTTGAGGGCAAAGCCATGGCACTTATCTCTTTAAACCCCAGCGCTTTTAGATCTTCGTGCAAGAGGACATGATTAGTCAAGGCCGCTGGGAGGAGCCCCGGTGGTGTAGTAGTTACAAGTCGGGCTGCGATCCACACGGTCGGCAGTTCAAAACCACCAGCCTCTGCTCCGAGGGAGAAAGGCTAGGCTTTTTACTCCCATGAACAGTTACAGTCTCAGAAACCTGCAGGGGGTCGCTATGGTCTCCATGGCCGTGTATGTGGGATTAGTCAGAGAGCTTACAGTGACATGACCAAAGACTCCTGTGTTCCTTTTGTGTGTGTAACGCTAGAACGTGACTGCATAAGCCTTAGAGGGCCATCTCATGCAGTAGACAGGCTGGGTGGGACAGGGGTCTGTGTCACAGGTTAGGACACCTCCCAGGGAAAGGGACAGTAGCGGCCTGGACTGCTCCACATATCTTGGCTCTCAACAGAAGAGGCAAGAGTGCATGCTTGTGACACAACTTGCCTGACAGGGCCTGGGCTCGCATGTAGAGGGTGAGTGACGGCCTGCACAGGCTGCTAGAGTCCTGGCTCCACTCCTTACCAGCTGTGTGACCTTGGACAGTTGACTTCTCAGGGCTTCTGCAGTAACACCAATCATTTAGAGTTCTGTGAGGATGATGAGGGCTCAGAACAACCCGGCATAAAAGTAAATGCACGCGATCGAGTGGCCAGTAAAATGAGGAGCGTCTTTAATCCTGATCTTCCCTCAAAGTGGTTGGACTTTCCTTCAGGCGCTTTGAAGACCAGCGATAGCTGCGTGGTTACCTCTTGATTTCAATTTCTCTGACCACTTTGTAAACCTGGACCACATCTTTGTGGATGTTCCCCGTTGTGTTCTAAGGAGGTGTATGTGAGTGGGGGCCTGGGTAAGGGTAAGGGTTTCTACCTCTCTGTTTCAGATCTGGGTAAGGGTTTCAAGGAGCTACCTCTCTGTTTCAGATCGCCCTGGCGAGCTTTTATGAGGACGGAGGGGATGAAGACATTGTGACCATTTCACAGGCAACCCCCAGTTCAGTGTCCAGAGGCACAGCACCCAGGTAAGAGCCAATTTCAGTGACAGCTGTGTGAGTGTGCTTCCAGCAAGAAGGGTCATGCCTGTGGGGTATGGGCCTTTGGGTAAGAATGAGCAGTGGTAGGAATTCCTTGCCAGACTCCTTCAATTCATGCAGGGAACTGGGCACTCCAGCATGGGAGCCACGAGCCTCATGCAACTACAGACACTTAGGATTAAATAAAACACTTCAAATGCGTAGTAGCCACCCAGGGCATGTGGCGTTCGTGTTAGTGCTGCTCTAGCGTTCCTGTCACTGCAGAAAGACACTGTCAGTCTCAGTAATCTGTGGACACCCTGAAAAGAAACAGGAAAAACCTCGCGGCCATCAAGTCAATGCAGACTCAGCGACCCTATCAAACAGGGTGGAAGTGCCCCTGTGAGTTTCAACTCTTTACAGGAGTAGAAAGCCGTGGCCATTTTCCTTGGAGCGGCTACCAGTTTCGAGCCGCTGACTCAGTGGTTAGCTTCCCAACAGTTATGCCACCAGGGCTCCTTGTGGAAACCATAAGGTGAAGTATTTTGAAGCCTGTAATCTCCTCGTCCATCAGACTAACCGTTCTTTACTCCAGCACAGTGGTTCTCACGCTTGCGGGTGTATAAAAACTACCTGGAAGGTTCCTTAAAACTCTGGGCGCTGCTCCCTGGCTCTTACTTTAGGAAGTCTGAACCAGGGCCACGCTCCTCCAGAGTAGCACTTCCATGTGCCACGCCTCGCAAACAGTCTCGAACTCCTTAGTACGCGGCAGCGCACCGAGAGCCAGGCGGCAGTGGCTGCGACTCTTCCTCTCACGTGGGGAGCCGGATCCTTCGTTGCGTGTTCTTAGTCTGGAAGCTCCTCTGAAACCTGTCTGCTGTGGGGACCCTGCTGGCGTGGCATAGCCTCCGGCATCACGGCAACACACTGACAGACAAGTGGTGGCAGGATGGCAGCGACAGTTAGCCCTGTTGACAGTCACTGAATCATGTCAGCCTTTCAGTATCATCCCCACCTTCTTGCCCAGACCCATCCAGAAAATGAAGGTCACTGGTCCTTTGGTGGCCGTCACAAAGGCTGTGGTGAGGAGCGCCCTATTATAGAAATAATGGACTGCATTGCACAGAGCAGGTGTTCAGCTCAATCAGGTGTGCACTGTGTATTTGAGGATCTTTAATGGGGCTAAAGGGTGTTTGCCATCGAGGTTCGAGCTACCCCACCGTCATTGGAAGAGGCGGCTGAAATGGTGAGCACCCAGTTGGTAATTACAGGCGAGTCAATTGTGAACCCTGTGTGCAAGCAGAGCAGAGGGGCTCCCAGGGGTTGACAAGCCCTGAGCTGTCAGAAGTGGACCCCCAGGCATTCAAATTGCCAGCTTTTCATTACTCGGGGACCCATGGTGAGCACCCTGCCTGCTTCTAAATCTGTGGGTAAGGTTTGGGGTTAGGCCGAGCATCTATGGCAAGCTCCTTGGGGAAGACTCGTGCGTGGAAACAGCCTCGCGGGGCACTGGTATGTAGCTCCTCACTTGGATTCACTTGGACCACGTCAGACAGAGCATGAAGGGTTGCCCAGGAGGTGGCTGCCAGCTAACTCAGGCTACATCAATCAGACTTGGTCTCCTCATTTCTAGCTGATGGAGCCTCAATCTGGTCTGTTGTAGAAGCTGATTCCTTGAAAGAAAGAACTCTTTAAGACTAAGCTGGAGCCTTTTACCCAGTAAACAGTTCCTTTCTTGTCTGGCCTCACTAAACTGGTATAAAGTCCCATAGTATAAAGGAGCCCTGGTGGCAGGTCATTACAGATTGGGCTGCTAACCACGAAGTCAGCAGTTCAAAACCACCAGCAGCTCCATGTGAGCAAGGGGAGGTTTTCTACTCCCATGAAGAGTTACAACCTCAGAAACGCACCGGGCAGTTCTACCCTGACTATAGGGTGGCTATGAGTCGAAACTGACTCCGTGCCAGTGAGTTTGATTGGGTTTTCCCGTATTACAGGGAGCTGCTTCTCTCCCCGAGAAGCGCAGGGAAGTCATCTTTCGCTGCTATAAAATGTCCTGATTAGCCTTGGAAAGCCACGTTTGCTTTAAGATCGAGATGGCCTTGTAAGACAGTGCCCTAAGAAGAGGCATTACCTTCCTCCCAACCCACACAATCCTGCTGCTTTCCCAGAACATGCGAGCCTCCAGCAGCCAGAGCTCGGCACCTCCTCCTCCAGCACTGCCACCACCCCTCAGCTCCCACCTGCCTCCCTCTAACGTGTTACTGTCTGCGGCTTCCCTACAGCGCCCTCCTGGCCTCCTCTCCTGGCGGCCCACCACCCTTCTCTCCCTGACTGACTGCCTGCTCAGTCCAGGTAGTGTTTGCTGAGAAGCCTTTTTAAAAATCATTTTATTAGGAGCTCTGTCGGATAGAACATTCCATAGTTCAATCACACCAAGCAGTATTGTACAATTGCTACCACAGTCAGTTTCAACATTTTCTTTCTTCTTAAACTCCTTGATATCAGCTCCCCTTTATCCCCTCCCTGCCCCCCAGAAACCCTTTTTATTTTTGCCATAGCTTGCACATCCAGTACATCCATTCACCTACAATGCAAACAACGGTGTTCACTCCCCTCGAGTGGGGTTATACAGTTACCAATGCTATCAACTCCCTGCTCCCCTTCCTGCCGCCCCCCACCCCTTCCCTTAGGGAACCTTTACTCCTCTTCCTATTTCTGAAGGGTTAGCTATTTTGGTTTTTATGTATCGAATGATCTTAAATATGCAAATGAACATACACAGTCTGAAATAATAAATGAGGTAAAAGAAATGAAAACCGTAATAGTGAGAGGAGACAATGTTAAAGAACTAGAGTATAGGTATGTGTTTCATCAGTGCTACACCGCACCCTGGATTTAGCATTCTGGGAATCCTGTCTTAATATTACCCCACCCTGCCTCGGCCTCCTGTGCTTCACTGTTCCGAGCCCCTGGTAGACGGCATCCCATGCTTGGCCTCCTGGTCCATCTGTGCTACTGGGCTATAAGCATCTGAAGGATAGGAGCGGGGTCTGATTACAGACCTGGCGTCCAGTCCAGTGCCAGAGACAGTGGAACAAAGTCATGACAGGAGTGGCTGCCCAGTGGTAAGTTGTTAAGCTAGTACAGACCCTGCCCCCTCTACCCTCCACGAGATCCTGAACTAGATTCCGTTCTGCCTCTTTCTATTTCATTTCATTCTGTTTCATTCTCAGTCTTATGTGGCCTTGAAGAGGGGAGTGGGGAAGACATTTGTATATAGGCTTAGAAAGATTAACACACACACACACACACACACACACCCATCTCCATGCACCCTCTCCCTGCTCCACCAAGAACAAGTGTCCTGTCTGCCCGAGTTAGCAACTGGCATTGGGTCATTACTGTCTAACCCCTGCTGTGATCATTTGCCCCCTCTCTGTGTGTCTCCAGTGATAACCGAGTGACATCCTTCAGAGACCTTATTCATGACCAAGATGAGGAAGAGGAAGAAGAGGAAGGCCAGAGGTAAGGCTTGGTCAGGAAAGCCCACAGTACTGTGCAACGCACCGAGAACCCCACCTGGGCATTGCTTTCATTGAAGGGAACCGTTTACTGGGCTCACTGGGGAGGATGAGGAGCTATGGTAACATAGACATTAGGTAGTCCCTGCCACCTGTTACTGTCTCTTTCCTTTTCTGGCACTCTGAGATGGTTTGTGTTCTTAATTAGGAGGCGAATGAGGATATATTGAGAAAACAGGGAGGAGGGAAATAAAGGAGTAAGGAAAAAAAGTCATAATTCTATAACCCAGGGGTAACCAAGTACCAATGATATTCTGGTGTCTCATTCCTGTGTTTTTCTTTTAACTGGAAAAGCAGTACATCCATGTAAGTAGAAGACTCATGCCTGTACACACACAACATGCAGGTTTTCATCTGTGAGAATTTTAGAACAGAAGTCGTGTGGCGAATACAAGTAGTGTGATGAAAAACCATCCATCTTCCCCTTGGTAACTGCAGTTAATATTGGGGCTATTTCTAGTCCATCTTGTGTGTAGCTATACTTTGGGATACATTTTATGTGGTGTGAAGGTCCGATCGTGTGTGTGTGTGTGTGTGTGTGTGTGTGTGTGTGTGTGTGTGACACATCGTAAGCGCTTCTTGTCATTAAAATTCTTCAGTGCTTCCCATGGTAGTCCATCCCCTGGAATGTCCAACGTTGGGGTGTGTGTGTGTGTGTGTGTGTGTGTGTGTGTGTGTGTGTGTGTGTCACACATCGTAAGCACTTCTTGTCATTAAAATTCTTTAGTGCTTCCCATGGTAGTCCATCCCCTGGAATGTCCAACATTGGCCTCTCACCTGCTGTCCTGTGACCATCCTGGTGTATTCACAGTTGAGACGATTATATAGATTCTAGAAATGGAGACACAGGGCACGAATAGGAAGATCTTTAAGGCACTTGATTGATCACAGACCCCTAGTTCTTGAGCCAAGGCTCTGAACTCCTTTGTTACAGCCCTGACAGCCCACGGGGCAGAGCTTCATCTCCCTCGAATGAGCTAGCTGTCGTCTCATTTCACGGCCGTGGTTTTGGCCCTCCGAGGGATGGGCCCAAGTCTGTGGGACAGTCTGAGGAATGCTGTACCATAGCCATGTGGCAATGCAGTGGGCTCATCCTGGTCACTCTGGGAAGTGGACTGAGAAATTCCATGCCTTTTTTCTCTGTTTGCCTCTACAAAATGAGCTGCCCGCTGTCTTCGACCTGCCTTTAGATAGGCTGAAGGTGTGGAATGATGTGTTCACTTGGGGCTCTGCACCCCTTGAAGGGAGGGCAGCAGTGTCCCCTGGGTGCCCGGTTCCTAAATGACCGCCTGCTCTCCCAAGCCCATCCTCCATGAGATAACCTTCCTTTCGCCATTTCCCCGCTGCTGCCATGGCCCTCGGCCCACAGAGCTGGCGTGACACTGGTGCTCTTGGCCTCGCCAAGGTCTGCGGCTTTGCCTCACACCCCCTGGGGATCGTCAGGGACTCCGGAGCTGCGGCAGTTTGGGCCAGGGTCTCACTTCTCCCCGCTCAAGACATGGTACTGACTTGCTTGTCAGTAGGACTGATAGGGTGGCAGCCAGTTTTCAGATGCAGGTCAAAAAGTGCTGACTTAACCCCAAGCCCGGCGGGGGTCCTTGGGCTGTGTTTGAGATCGGAGCGTCCCCCTCCTGCTCCAGCACCCTCTCCTCGGTGCTCTCAGGGTGAGGCGAGCTGGGTGAGCCTGCGGTGCCGTCGCCCCGCCTGACACGTGTGCATCCCCCTGTGCTTGTTCTTTTGCATGCACATCTGCTGACTTGAACCTCACGGCCCTGACTTAAGGAGCAGGTAGGTAGGGCATGTGGTCCTTCCCTCCCATTTCAAAGACCAGGCAAGTGAGGTACAGAGCAGCCCACAGGATTGCCTGGGCTCACAGTGGCAGCACCAGGACTGGAGCCGAGCCACTTCAACTAACCATACCACTGACGCCATTAACCTAGAGCCCCTAGTGCAGCTGCTTCGGACTGTGACTGATTGCCGTCTTCTGGAGAGGGCCTGGTCTCCGAGTTAATCCGCCTCCGAGCGGCGCTCCCAAGGGGACATGCTGCCACGCATGCCTGGAATGCCCCCCTCATCTTTCCATCTGATAAACTCATCTTCACAACTCCGCCCCAAGACAGCCGCTCTCCTCCGATGCCTTGACGGTCCTCCCCAGCCTAGTGCTCCCGGCGCACCCCCTGCCCTCTGCTACTGCTCACACTGCATTAAACCTGCCTGCCGCCTCACCTCTGCCCCCACCTCACCAGTGAGGCCCCCTAGAGGCGTGCCCAGCACCTCGCCCCAAGCCTGGGCCATGCGCTGTTGGTGTTTTCCAAGGGCCTGTGGTGTTATCGGTATGTTTTCTGCCCAGGTTTTATGCTGGGGGCTCAGAAAGAAGTGGACAGCAGATTGTTGGACCTCCCAGGAAGAAAAGTCCCAACGAGCTGGTGGATGATCTCTTTAAAGGTGCCAAGGAGCATGGAGCCGTGGCTGTGGAGCGAGTGACCAAGAGCCCCGGAGAGAGCAGTAAACCGAGAGTGAGCCATGGGGCGGCTTGTCCCCGCCCCCTGGGCCGGGTTCCTGAGGTGGGAAGGGCCTGCATCTCCCAGCTATGACTGCTGTTGGTTCTGTTTCCCATCCGCTTCCTTGGCCGTTCATGCCCATGCAGTTTCTCTCACCTTTAACATGACCGCCGAGAACTGGGGCACAGAGTTAGGGTCTAGAGTCTGGCTAGATTGGGCACACCTGCCTTGGTGTGGCCTCTCCAGCTCAATGTACTCGGTGCTTTTTCCCTCTTTTTAATGGACTTAGTAGCCATCTGCTGTAAAATAAGATATAACTAGAAATGTTAAAATCTTGTACCCTGCCCTTGAATTTGTTCATCACAGTTAAGTAGAGCTGTGGGGCAGCTGTCTCCTTTAGTCAGACAGGGGCCCCGCCCCCAGTGTCCTCCCCAGTTTTATGGTACTGGCCCTCCTGGTCAGCCCTGAGCACCTCCAGAACTTAACATGTTTGGTCAGGGGCCTGGTCTCCCCCTTTACAGTCACTCTAGGTGCACCACGCAACCAGTCGCCTAAGTAGCCCCACCAGCATGGAGCAGCCTCGGGAATGTGTGTGAACTTGTCTCTTGTAGCCATTTGCAGGGGGTGGCTACCGCCTTGGGGCAGCACCTGAGGAAGAGTCTGCATATGTGGCAGGAGAAAGGAGGCGGCACTCGGGTCAAGACGTGAGTGTGCATCTACCTTGGGGGCGGGGGGTGTCCTGTGACCCAGCTGCTATGTCGTGGTGTGTTGTGCCGTGTGCCATAAGCCTGCAGAGACAGTGCCCTGGATCTCACTCCTGAGGATCAAAGACCGCTCTCATCTGGCTGGACGAGGGCTTGGAAAGGGACAGGAGGAAAGTAGCACCCCATGAGGCACGGGGCTATTGAGTGGTATAGGCATGGCCCAAAAATGTGGTCTTCACACCACCAGAGAAGGCCCAAGAGCCATTTTCAGTTGGTTTCTTATCCATGTAGTTCTCCTATACATGGGATGTCCCCTACCCCATAAGTAATTATAGATCGTTTTAAGCAATTTAGTATTGAATATGCCGCAAGCTTTTATGTAGCCTGTGAATTGGCATCTAATTATTTGAGAGGTCACTCCAAAATGAAAGTCAGCCACGGAAGTGGAAGGACGCGCCCTCTGCTGTGCAGGAGCAGCCAGGCCGTCTGCTTCCATAAATGTCGCAGCCGGGGACTCTGACCTGCAAGGTCGCTGTGAGTCCGAACACAACCAGACAGCAGTGGCTTGGCTTTGGGGTTGGGTGTCCCTTGAGTCAGCCGCGAGCTGTTTTTCTGTGACTGTGTCTTGGGGGTGGCGATGACTGAATGGCGATTGTGGATGACATCTTTCAGGATTGCAGAAGAGCCCATGAGTCGACTTGCCCTGGCACTTGAGTTGAACACAGGTTCCGTGCCACGTACGGCTGACAGCCCTGTGATAGGGAAGGCCTGGTGTCGGAGAGACTCACCTAGCTAGTGAGGGCAGAGTGAGGATGCAGACCCACCCAGGCTTCCTTAAAACAGCCTGTGCTCAACTTGTGCCATGTCACTTTCCTGATTTGGGTTAACACCTGGTTGGTAGTTGGTTGATTTCCTTAGGAGCGTGTGGGCAGGTGGGCTTGCTGGCGTGCGTGCGTGCGTGCGTGCGTCTTAGTAATCACAGCGAGTGACATCCTGCTGCCCCCTGAGGTGTGCTTGCTGGTCCCCGCAGAGTTTCAGCTGCTTACCTGCCTGTCGTCCCAGGTCCACGTGGTGTTGAAGCTCTGGAAGAGCGGATTCAGCCTGGACAATGGTGAGCTCCGAAGCTACCAGGACCCCGCCAATGCCCAGTTTCTGGAGTCGATCCGCAGAGGGTGAGCCAAACTCTCTCTTCCAGAGCCCATGTCCGTGAGGGAGGGCAGGTGGGTCAAAAGAGGCCATTGTTTGAGATGTAGGTTCACAGATCTTAGTCTCCTGTTTGTCCGGCCTTGGGGACTGGCAAGGGGCCGTGTGGAAGGAAGATGGGGTTCCGAGGTGACTTGAGCACACCAGCAGACAGGGCAGCCGGCTTCTCCCTCAGCCCGGTCACTGCTCTGTGTGGACCCCGCTTTGCCTTTTCCTCCAGAGAGGTGCCAGGCGAGCTGCGGAGGTTAGCGCACGGCGGGCAGGTGAACTTGGACATGGAGGACCATCGGGATGAGGACTTTGTGAAGCCAAAGGGAGCCTTCAAAGCCTTCACTGGCGAGGGTCAGAAACTGGGCAGGTAAGACCGGTATGGGGCAGTGTCTGTCTCCTGCAGGCCCAGCCGCTGCAGTGACTCACTTCCGGTTCTGTTTGGGTGGGAGGAGAGGACAGCGAAGGTGAGTTTCAGGTGAACGAGCCCGAGTAGAGCTTGCAGGCTCTCTGCCCTCAGCTGTGTACTGGGGGCAGGAAGAGCTGTCCTCCACCGGACTCGTCGTGAGGACCAGTGAGCTACAGCGGGTAGAGCTGTATGTATGTGCACACAAACCTGGCTCACCTGAATGGTGGGGGGAAGGGACTAGGAATTTCCAGGTGGCCTGGTACAGCGGGGTCGGAATCCAGGGAAGCTCAAGGGCACCTGTATTGCCTGCCCCTGCGCAGACTGAGGCTCCTCGGCGGTGGCCTTGCCTACTGCTCACTGTCACTTCCTGTGACGTTTTCTGCCTTCTCCTCTTGAGCCCACTGCCCATGGCTATTCTTGCTCTTGTTCAAGCTCCCTGAGAGCATCTGATTGGTTAGTAGCCACTGCTATCTCTGAGGAGCAGACCTCTCATCAGACCCTGGGGCAGCCCAGTCCTAAGTCGCCTTCTCTTGGGGGCTTACTTGGTTCGGGGCGTGTTCTCTCAGAGCCGAGTGCTCCACAGAGCACCGTCCTCCTTGTCAGCGTGAGAGTTGGGGCTCTGGGATGGGATGGGGCTGGTCCTGGGCGCACGGCTGCCAGGTGGTGGAGCCAGGCCTGGAAGCCAAGCTGTCCGGTGAACATGACTACCAAGGTGCCCTCTGCCCTACCGCCCGGAGGACAGAGTCATGCCCCACAGATTCTTTGAAGTCCCCGCATAGGTTGTCAGTCCACTTCCATTCCAGTTCTTGCTGTTTTAGAAAGCTCAGCTGAAAAGTTTTTACACCGCCAGGTGGGGTGGGCTTTCCCGGGCGGCTTTGTGGTTCTGTCCATCACCGTTGGTGCGTTTCCATTGTTTTGTGGTCTGGAGGCAGAGGATGAAGAAAACTTTATCCATAGAAAACTTGAGATCAGCCCAAAGCAGGGTGTTGGCCTCAAAATTCTGGCACTTCTGGTCCCCTTTCCCTTAAAAGAAAAGGTATATGGGGTGGGGGAGGGGGTCTGGGAAACTAAAGTCAGGATTCAGCTGTCCTCGGATGGAGATTTTGATTGTTCTTTCTGTGGTTAAGCCTGGTTGGTGCTCCGGGGTTCTCGCTTGCTTGCTTGGTGGGAGCTGGTCTGACAGCAGGGGCAGGAAGGCTCCGTTGATCTGATTTAAGTAGCTAATTGGGGGTGGGACTTGGTGCATCACTGACACGGGAGGTGAGCTTGGCCGGAATGCTCTATTCGCTGTGCTTCCTGCAGTGGCCGTGGGGTGAGGGAGGTGGTGGTGCCTCGGGATTGTGGCTTTTGTGGCCCAGTGCGTTCCCAGTACCAAGGAAATGAGGGGACCAGGTTCACACTCTGGTCTGTCCGCCGAGTGAGGTGCAGTCTCCCCGGGGCTGCCGGTGTGGTGTCACTGGGAGGCCACTGCGGTCTCCTTGTGCCCGCTCTGGCCCCAGGCTGGCGGCTCTGGCACGTTCTGAGAAGAAGGACTCGGGAGTTAGGAGTTTGGAACTAGTGCTCCTTGAACGTCTTGCTCTGGCTCCGAATCTGGCTGGTGGACGTTGTGGCTTCGAGGTGGTTTCTCCTCCTCGGTGCCCCACGCGCCTCGGGGCAGCACCGGCTGGCTGGCTGGGTTTTCAGGAGACCTCCACTTTCAGCCCAGGGAGAGAAGGTGGCATTTCTGTGGAATTCTGCTGCAGAGTTTAGGTAAATTCGAGTGAGATAGAACCTTGAAGACCGAGACCAGGAAACGCCCACACCATCGAGTTGATTCCGGCTCAGTGACCCTTTGGAACAGAGTAGAACTGGCCCTTTGGGTTTCCAAGATTGTAATTCTTTGTAGGAGCAAAAAGTGGTCTGTCTCCTGCCAAATGGCGGGTTCAAACTGCTGACCTTGCAATTACCAACCAGTGTATTACCCACTACACTCCCAGGGCACCTGTGAAGAACGAGAGCAGTCAGCTAGCCGAGTGTTTGCTGCTCGCTAAGCACTGTGCCCCCCAGCATTGCCTGTAATACCCTGTGCTGTTCACTCTGATGCACGCTCTGAGGCTGGGTGCTTGAGGGGTGTGGGGGTCCCACCAGTTGGACTGTCACCTGCACAGGTTCTCCACAGGGACATTGGTTTGTGCATCCAGGAGACGCTGCTGGTGCTGTGCACATTTAGTTCTGTCTTGTTGCAAGGAAACTTGGGGCGAGGCTTCTACCAGTGGGGCCCTGAAATCCAGGCCTTGCAGGAGAGCCTGGCAGTGCTGAGCACATGGGACCTGAGCCACGCAGCTGTACCTCAAACCAACACTGGGACCCCACTCATGCGTTTCCTCTTCTAGCGGGAAGTCTGACCCCTCCTCCACAGGGAGGGGGATAAGTCTGGAGCCCACAGCAGAGGGCCTGACTCCGCAGTGGACTCTGGCTGCACAGCTGGGGCTGTGACTGAGGCCTGGGGAAGGGCTTCCTCCAGGGGCCCCCGTGGGGCCCTCGCTTAACATCGTCATGGTTCATCGTCGTGACCTGTTCAGTTTGGTGGTAGAACTGGGACCAGACCGCAGGCCTGCGCCACACCACACACAGTGGGCGGTGTTTCTCCAGCTCAGCAGGCTCTCCTTAATAACAACGGCCGCGCTGAGTGGAGCCCCCGCCCTGCCTGCGAGTGGGGGCTGAGGGCGGTGATGGAGAGCGTGTCCCCGTTGCACAGAAAGGAGTGACATGGCTGAGACAGCGTGCTGGGTCACACCGCTCCTAGTGGGGAGTCGATCCAGCTCTGGGGACAGGCGAGCTTTTGAGCAACCCTTTCAGTGTCCGGTTATTCTCCTAACGTGAAGTGGAGAGTGGAGCTCGGCCACGGCTCGGCCACCCAGGATAGAGAGGCGGCGTGGGCGCTGCGCCCACCCTGTGCTGCTGAGAGGTGGGGGCTGCTGGTGCCAGTCACTGAGGCCGGTACAAAGTGGGTGTAGATGGCTTACCTGTTCCTCCTCGTGGGCCCCTCCCCTGAGCTGAGTGGAGTCATAGGCCCTGTCTTGTGGTAGGCCTGACCCAAGTACACTCGCTCCCTCACCAGCAGCACATAACCACATGGAGCTGTGAAAACCCACTGGGGGCCAGGCTGCCCACAGTCTCACTGCAGCGCTCCCTAACAGCCACCCCGCTCATGCACAAACCCACGGTCACAACCCCCAGTGGGCTTCAGGGAGCCCCGGTGGTTCTGTCGGGTGAGCATCGGACAGCTGAGCACAAGGTTGGCAGTTCAAGCTCTCCAGCCGTTCCCCAGGGGGAAAGATAAGGTTGTCTGCACGCTTCCCAGGGGACTCCTGAGACCTGTGGGGCTTTCGCGTACCCCAGGGTGAGGCTGCTGTAGGGGTGCCCCCATCCTTAATTCTCCAAGCCCGTGTTTTTCAGTCTTAGGAAGATCGAGTTAGTCCCTTCGTCATGCCTATCTTCACTCTGTGCTCCAAAGGCCAGATCCCATGGACTCCCCTTTCTGCAGGAGGGAAGCCAGTAGAGCAGGAAGGGGGGGGAGGGGGACCCTGGGAGCGCATGGTTTGTGTGAACTGCTGCGTGGCTAGAACCTCTGACATTTCCAAAGCTTCTTGAGCTCTAGAGCTACTGGGGCTTGTGGGGCCCACTTCCAGCTGGACTCGCCCTCATTAGGGGTGCAGCTCTGAGAGAAGCTGTGGTGTGAGTGCTGGCTGAGTCACAGGGGAGGTGTGGATGGGGGGGGGGGGCTCTTTTCAGCGAGTTTAGGCCAAGCCACCTGCTGAGAGAAAGGCTGTACAGGGCGGGGAGGGGAGAATTGTGGGGAGTTGGTATTCTCGGTGCATTTGCCTCTGAGAGCCTCCCTTGGCGTTCTGGATCGCTTGCCCCTTCTGAGGCAGTGGTGTCGGCTGGCCCGGTGCGTTCCCGGAAGCAGGGGCTGGGTCTCTGAAGGTCTGAGGCTGAGTGCCTTTCCTTGCCACCAAGCCCTCATGCCATCTTCTCGTCCCCAGCACCGCCCCCCAGGTCTTGCACACCAGCTCTCCGGCCCAGCAGGCGGAAAATGAAGCCAGAGCCAGCTCGTCCGTCCCCATTGACGAGGCAGAGCCCACCACCAACATCCAGATCCGCCTGGCCGACGGTGGGCGGCTGGTTCAGAAGTTTAACCACAGCCACAGGTACCTGCCAGCAGGGGGCGGGGCTGCCTCAGCACAGCTGGTACTGTGTGTCCTACCCCTGCCCCCTCGTCAGGGCTCGTTGCCCTGGGTGCCCAGCTAGAGGAGCGGGTTCAGGCAGAGGTGGGACCCGCTTTTCTTTTCTTTCTTTTTTTTTTTTTAAACATTTTATTAGGGGCTCATACAACTGTTATCGCAATCCATACACACATCAATTGTGTAAAGCGCATTTGTACATCATTCTCAAAACATTTTCTCTCCACTTAAACCCTCGACATTAGGTCATTTTTCCCCTCCCTCCCCGCTCCCCCCTCATGAGCCCTTGATAGTTTATAAATTGGTATTTTGTCATATCTTGCCCTGTCCGACGTCTCCCTTCACCCACTTTTCGGTTGTCTGTCCCCCAGGGAGGAGGTCACATATAGTTCCTTGTAATCGGTTCCCTCTTTCCTACCCATTCTCCCTTTACCCTCCCTGTTTCGCCACTCACACCACTGGTCCTGTAGGGCTCATCAGCCCTGGATTCCCTGGATTTTCAGTTCCTATCTGTACCAGTGTACCTCCTCTGGTCTAGCCAGACTTGCAAGGTCGAATTCAAGTCATGGTAGTGGGAGCGGGGAGGAAACATTTAGGAACTAGAGGAAAGTTGTATTTCTCATCGTTGTTACATCGGGACCCGCTTTTCTATCCCCCAGACTTTGTGCTCAAAGGTAAGCTTGTGCTGCAGCCCAGGTGCAGAGCAGATAAAACCAGGCTGCTGGGGTGGATGGAGGGGCGCCAGTGCCTCTTGGCCATCTGCTTTCTGCCAGTGGCGTCCATGCTTGGCTCTGCAGGAAGAAGTGGGCGGAGTGCCAAGGGGGCAGGGAAGCTGGGGGAAGCTGCCCCAGGAGGTGCTATCGTTCGGGGCCTGCGTTTGGATGAAGGTCCTGGGGTTCCTGCAGAGGAGTCTCGGGCAGGAGGGCAGCATGGCCTGACAGAACTGCGAGGCGGGGCTGGCCTGAGGGAGAGCCAGGCCAGGAAACTGGTGTAACATCTGTGGGCAGAACTTGGCACCACAGCCAGGTGTCACGTCGCAAGGGAAGCGGAACGGCAGTGAGGGTCTCCACGGCTCAGTGACCTGTTCCCACCTGCTTCCCAGCACGGCTCTGGCTGCTCAGTGGGGAGCGGGGAGGCGCCTGGGGCTGTGGCTCAGGTGGGGAAGGCTCTGCTGACCCGCCCCCTCTGCCCCAGGATCAGTGACATCCGGCTCTTCATCGTGGACGCCCGGCCGGCCATGGCTGCCACCAGCTTCGTGCTCATGACCACCTTTCCAAACAAAGAGCTGGCTGACGAGAGCCAGACCCTGCGGGAAGCCAACCTGCTCAACGCTGTCATCGTGCAGCGGCTCACCTAACCGCCCGCCTGCCCTGTGCCCCAGCAGTCCTGTGCCATGTCCCTCCGTAGCCGCCCGGGGTCTTAGATCTCCCTTGTTGGACATTTGTTTTCTCCTTGGTTGCATTTTCTGGGTTTTTGTGACGATCAGTGGACTTTAAAGAAAAAAAATTAAATAAAAAGAACCAAAACAATGCAAGGATTATCACTAGTATATTGTAGAGAAGTGTTCCCACTGAAGTGGGCCGTGCTGCTTTAAGGACGAAGTTCTCTACATCAAAACGTGGGTGGGGAGGATGTCAGGCAGCAGACTGGGAAGGGGGTGAGCCTCCCTTTCATAATCTCTGCCTACACCAGGCCTGTGGCATACAGCATCCATCCTCCAGTGTGCCCCAGGGTGACTACAGCACAAAGGAACAACCCTTTCCCAGTCGGGGGCTGTGGGATGGGAGCTGTGCAGTCCCTCGACCTTGTGAGTGCCCACACCTTGTGAGTGCACAGGGACCTGCTGGGAAAGGCACTTTCCTCATGTTGGGGTGCCTCAGCCTGGGGCCTCCCTCCCTTCAGCCATGTGATCCCCTCAGGTCCCAGCTGTACTGCCAGTGCCTTGTTGACCCCCGAGTCCAGAGGCCTGTGAGTCGGGACATTCCCTGGGAAACCGCTCAGACCACCCAGCTGCTCTGAGCCGGGGTCTCCAGCCTGAAAAAGCACTGGAACCAAAGCGCCACTGAGGCTTTAGGCAGGTGTGGAGACAGACGTGTGCTCCCTGTGTACAGTCTTGTCCTTTCACCGCGGCCGTGGCTTCCAGAAGAGGCCCCACAGAGCAGCCTGCAAGGGTGTGCCTGGTGTGAGGCTGCCCATCAGAATTGTCCTTGCCCAGATTCTGACCTGCAAGATTGGTTCTAGGGCAAGTTTATGGGAAGAAGCTGATTGGCACTCCGTAAGGAACCTTCCCTCCTCCCCACTGGAGGAAGATCAGAGCAGTCGTCGGCGCCGTCATAACAGACCTGAGTCCCCTTTTTGAGCGTTTCTGCCACTCTTCTTCCGATTGCCCTCCTGCAGTGAGCCAACAGCCAGCACCATCTCCACCCGGCGCCCAGAGCCGCATGGCCTGTGCTTTACACCGAGACCCATCCTGAAAAAGGGCTGGGGGCCACCGGGCCTGCAGCATCTCCACCCGTGCCCCCTCCCACAGGTGGAGGTCCCCAGGGAAACAGTGCTGGTCTGGGAAACCTTTGGAAAGCATCGCCGTGACCGTTAAAAACCCAAAATGAAAGAGAACGATGGCGTTGTGTATTTTGTAGTGGGATGGCGGGGAGGGACTGAGCAACAGCCACTTGTTGGTCACAACTGGCCTGTCTTGGTGCAGAGCCTGGAGCCCGGACGCGGTCGGGCGCCGTCTTGTGCTCCCTGCCCTCGTGGGCACGCTCGCTCAGCCGCCTGCACCAGCTGTCACCTTCACAAAGGGCTCCCTGGATGGGAGCAGGGCTGCTGGGTGTGCGGCCCTTGAGCTGGGGCCCAGGCTGCTGTGGGTTCTGGTGGAGTAAGGGTGTTTCGACGGGTTTCTGTTCTACATGGCCCTCTGGATGGAAGAGAGCTCAGGACAGTTGTCACATTTGGCTGTGTGTCAGGGCACTTGACGTTTCCCAAACTCAGCAGCCTGTCAGGACTCAACAAACCAGACGGGAGATGGGCTGGAACTCAGGAGCTTTGGCAATGCATGAGCCTGACCTGACGGAGGTGTCCAGGGTTCATCACTGATGCCCTTCCTAGCACACTCATTTACACTAGTATTAATGGCTGTGCTAGGTTTATTGTGCCAACCTGACCAATAGGAACGTGGGATTAATCAGGTTACTGTTTGATTGGAGGGCCAAGAGATAAATGGCTTTGCAAGGCCTGCACCCCTCTCGCTCTCTGGTAATCGGAGCATGCTGCTGCTTCAGCTAGTTCTTTGCCTCAACCTGTGAGCTATACTACCTGTGGGCCAGGCCAACCCATGGATCGTGTCACAGAGCTTGAGGTTCCTTCAAGACCTGCTTAGCCACTGCTGCGTACATTGCTGGAGCTTGAGGCTGGTGGCTCCTGTAGCCTTGTATTGCTTGCATTCAATATCCCATGGGGCCTGCTTCACTGCTGCTTGCTGCCTGTGGGCAGACTCAGCCAGCTAGCCTTGCCCCAGGGAGGACTCTGTTGTCTGCTTCCTTGACCTTGGACCCAGCAGCCCATATGATTTAAAGGACTCCCAGTATATTTACTAGTCATGGAAATGAGTTGAACTGAGCCCTCTGTACTGCTGTGTGGACTAATTAGCTGTTACATTCCTTCTCGCTGTATAAACCTATCCTTGTATGTATATATAAAATCATAAGTGTCCTGGTTTCGTGTCTCTGGAGAACCCTGCCTAACACAGGCGGGTCTCTTTGGCCACGTTAAACTACACCATGCCAGCCAGCCCTGCAGGTGCTGGTTTATATGCACCGATGGTGTCCTCAGGAGGTGGCCCAGGCAAAGGAGCAGGCTAGTCAGACTCTGTGAGAGCCAGGCTCATTGTCCTTGCCTGCCCTGCCCGGCCCGAAACTATGGCCACAAGCTGGTGCAGGAAGGTGGCTCCCCTGCTGCTCCCCACACCAGAACCATAAGCTCTCCCAGAAGTTGCTACTGACCCCCAGGGCCTTCTCCAGCATCTTCTCTCCTGTGGGTACTGCCTGTGGCCATCCTCACCCCACCCTGTCCCACTCCTCAGGCCAGGTGTGTAGGCAGAGTAGAAAATACTGCTTGCCTCTTGGGTCTGCCCTGGGTCCCCATGGAGCAAGCAGTGGCCTCACCCCCATCAGCTCCACACACATCCTCGCTCAGCAGTAGTAGCAGAACCTCCTCCTTGGTCTGCCTTCTCACACACACACACACACACACACACACAACACAGACAGGCAGGGGGACTCTTGTTGCAATGTTACCATCAGCCTGTCAGGCCTTTCCTTTAAAAATCCTCATTGCTTCCCATTACCCCTGAAACAAAAGGCAAACTCCTTGTCATCACCGTGGGGCCCTGGCGAGTTAGTTCCTTGTTTCCAGTGGACAAGCAGGAGACGCTGCTGCCCAGCGCTGCCCCGTCCTCGCCATCCCCCGTCGTTGCCAGGGCTGAGCTCCATGTTGCTGCCACTGTGCTTATCTAGCTCTGAGAGCCTTCCTCCTCTTCACTGCCACTCTACCAAGTATGATGCCCTTCTCCAGGCACTGGACCCTCCATGTGACCTGCCCAGAGTACGAGACAAAGTCGCCCGGTCCCTCATCTAGTTTGGTGGGTCTTCTAAGACAGGCTCGCGGGTCCTGCTGACAGTCCGTGGCATATTCAGCGGTCTCCTGCACTGGTACAACTACGGCGTCACTTCTTCAGCCCTCCTGGCTCGTGTGGAGGTGACGGAACACCGTTGCTAGGTCAGGTGGGCCTCCGTCCTCAGAGCAACCTCTGGGCTCTCGAACACTTAGGTCGTTTGATGTTTTGGCTGCTGATCCCACGGGCCTTGATTGTGAATTCACGTAAAATGAAATCCTTCTTTTCCAGCCGTGACCTTTAAAGCCCTCACAGTTCTGCGTTACCCCCAGAAGGGGGAAAAAACCCAAAGTCCTTCCTAAGCTCAAAGACCCCACGTGAGCTGGCCGTACCCGCCACTCCATCTCGCTGGCCTCTCTGCACTCCTCCCCACCCCCCAATCCCCCTCACTCTCCCCTTCACCCCTGACAGACTGGAGCCCTGATACCCAGTGAGCCACTCATTGGGCTGCTAACTGCAGTGCAGGATAGAGGGGAGGCTTTGCACTACACAGAGCTGCTTCTCTGTCCCCAGGAGTTGAGAGTTCTCCGCTACACTGTTCATCTGCTGGTTTTTCTTTCTCTTACGGGTTCTCAAGCCCCTTCCACTCAGTGAGGCGAGCCTAAGGGACAGGATAGAACTGGCCCTGTGAGGGTCCCAGACTCGTGCTGATGAGACTAGAAAGCCCTGTCTTTCTCCAGAGGAGCAGCTAGCGGTTTCAAACTGTGGGCTTCGTGGATCACAGCCCTACACGTAACCACTACGCCACCAGGGCTCCTGATCACAGGGTTTATCTTTTCTTCACTTGTGCTTGCTTCTGTGCCTGATGGGCCCTTTTCACAACTCCCAAAGTGACTGACTAGGTTTAGGACACACCCCAACATTGCCATGGCCTCGTTTACATAACAAAGAAAACCTGATTCCCAAACAGCATTCCAGTCAGTTCTAGGGGTTAGGATTCTGTGTTAGTCTGGGGAAACTGGGGAAACAAATCCACAGAAACTTATATGTATAAGAGAGAGTTTTATATAAAGGGTAAGTGTACATTAAGAAAGCATTCCAACCCAGTCCAGTCCAAGCCCATAAGTCCAACATTAACCATATGTCTGACACCAATGTACAAAGTCCTTCATCTTACAAAACACAATGATGCCGACTGCAGGAGGAAAGTCGAATCAGTGGGCGTGTAAGCATTTCAGCACTGGCAGGGGACTCCACACGGCTGCTCCAGGACCCATGGCTGCACCAGGTTGGTCCATGTGGCTTCTCCTCAGGGATGTCTTGCAGGAAGTGAGCCTTGCCAGCTGAAGCAGGGAACTGGCTAAGGCAGCTTCACCCTG